CTAATATCCTGGCTCGCATGAGCTATCAGAACACACACACACACACACACACAACAGATAAAACAACAAACATTTATTGGACAATCACATATATAAGAGACTTGACTAAGAACGTTACATTCACACCTAACAACCCTTAAACTAGGAACTTTTCTTAGCCAAATTCTATAGGCAAAGATATTGAGGCTGAAAGGGATTAAGTACCTTTCCCCGTATCATACACAAAGTAAGCAATGAGACCTAGTTTTCAAATCTAGAGCCCAAGTTCTTAATTCATTCTATGCTACGTATTCAACATGTTTAATTTTCTCTCTTAGATAATTTTAAAGTTTTCTCTCCTATATAATGAATGGTATGGGTACAATTCAGAACGTGCTCTAAAGAGGGAAGTACCTAAATAGAGTATTTTTAAAAAGAATAACTTACTGACTTTTTTTTAACCTTAGAACAAAGATAAAACAAGAAGCAATGCAGGTACTATTTAATATATTAAAAGCTATTACTGGATATTGACATACATGTACCAGTTTTCCCGGGGCTAAGAAAACAAAAAAAAGTGACACTGATGCCATCAATATGTCACCCTGACATGTAAAATGGCTTAAATTTTCAGCAAGTTCTTCAAAAAGAAAATGGAAGTAGGAAAGAACAGAAAAGAAAAAATACAGCTCTAAGAAATAACTTCTTTCATTTCAGGATTTTCAGATTATTTCCTTAATAAACCTTCCCAAGATTTTGGCATTTCGATATTCTACTTGGTTGAAAAAATGAAGACACTACTCATAATATTAGGTGATTCAAGAGACAATGAATCAATTACAAATCAAAGCTGAACTGATATTCATGACACCTGTCCTATGATGAAAAGATCCTCTTATGAACTGGGTAAACAAATTATGAAATGCCCAACTGAATATTACCCATACACTAAAATATTATCCCAACACTAAAAATCATTCCCTAGAAGAAGAAGAAAATCCTTTAAAACTATGACTGTTTTTGAAGCTAACACGATGACAGCACACCGTAAGTGAAACACAGCATCATTTCTGTGATTTCTTGCCAAAAATGCATAAACTGAATCTAATCATGAGGAAACATCAAACAAATCAAAATGGAAGGGTATCCTACAAAAATCAGCCTGTAATCTTCAAGATCATGATGGTCAAGGAAAGACTGGAGAACTTTTCAGTGTTGGGAGAGATTAGAGAAAGATGACTTAATGCAACACATAATTCTAAACCAGATCCTTTGGCTCTAAAAGACATGGTTGGTTGGGACAACTAAGGAAAGTCGAAGGGGGTGCGAATGGTTTCTTAACGTTGATCACAGCCCTCTGGTTATGTAGAAGAATGTCCTGCTTGAAATACACACTGAAATATGAGAAAGTAATGGGCATCACATCCGCTTCTTGCTCTCAATTATTTAGCAAAAGGAAAGGCCTCTGTTGTGTACTTGCAACTTTTCTGTAAGTTTGAAGTTATTTCAAAATGATTTCTCAACGCAGGGCACCTGGGTGGTTCAGTCGGTTAAGCCTCCGACTCTTGATCTCAGTTCAAGTCTTGATCTCAGGGTGGTGAGTTCAAGCCCCACAATAATAATAATTTTTAAATGCAAATATAAAACACTATGTGGCCTATAGTAACATTTTTATCATTTGTTAGTCTGTTAGTAGATGGATGAGTGGGCGGCAGGAAGGAAGAGGGAAGGATAAGGAGAAGAAATCATAGATAGATAGATAAAACAGATTAGAAGAACACACAGAAATAGAAAATAATCAGTAGTCTAAAAATGTGTACAGGCAGAAGTGTATGTCTATTCATTAATGTAATATAGTACTTTCATGATGAGATGGGTGGTAAGGAAACAGTTTTTTTAGTGCCCACTATACGCCAGGTACTATACAAAATGTTCAACAAGTATTACCTCATTACACCCTCATAAAAATCAGGAAGACAGTATTATCTTCATTTTTAGGTAAAGGGTCTGAGGCCTAGTAAAGTTAAACCAACTTGCCTAATTTCACACAACTAATAACTAGCAGAGCTGGATACAAAATAAAATCTGCCTTGTTCAAAGCTAATGCTCTTTCTACTATACGATAATGCTTACCATATATTTAAGTTATTCATACATTTATAAACTCAACGTGACTATGTAAGCTGTTATAGCTTTACATCTATTGCCTTCATTACTATCTGTTAATAACCTCTCATGTACTTCAAGTGTCTGTGGATGTTTGCCCAACGTTTCTGCTAAAATATCTGAAATTTCTACTACTGGAACACATATAAAAATGAAAACACATTACCTGGGAAAGGTAATATAGTAACCCATCATCATGTTTTGAATGAATTATTCTATAAGACCAGCTTGTTAAGTCATCTCTGAAAAAGGTACACACTGATCATTTTTGTACTGGTCCAACAATAACTCAATTATTTACCTGTCCAACTATATTCTTCCGTATACTCTTCCAGACTTTAATACATCAATTGTCCTCCCCCTCTTAGCAACTATCACTTTCTCTTCCCTAAGTACTTAGTGTTCTTTAGCCAACAACATTTAAAGGTTTTCCCTAAAATAAGTTTCCCTGAACTTGCCCTTTTCTCAAGCCATTAGAGGCAAAACCAGATTCTAACATCAGAGGCAGCTGTTCCTGGCAGTAGGCAAGCATTCAAAGACACACCACCCAGGGCACCTGGGTGGCTCAGTGGGTTAAACCTCTGCCTTTGGCTCAGGTCATGATCTCAGGGTCCTGTGATTGAGCCCCGCATCGGGCTCTCTGCTCGGTGGGGAGCCTGCTTCCCCCTCTCTCTCTGCCTGCCTCTCTGCCTACTTGTGATCTCTCTCTCTCTGTCAAATAAATAAATAAAATTAAAAAAAAAAAAAAGACATACCACCCTCCATCTACCTTCCGCTTGATAAGTCTAACCTACACATATTTTTTTTTAAAGATTTTTTTTTTAAAGAACCCTGGGATCATGACCTGAGCTGAAGGCAGAGGCTTAACCCACTGAGGCACCCAGGCGCCCTGACCTACACACATTTTTATCAGGGTCTCAAACAACCATCGTGTCAATATTTGAACTTTAAAATATTGCAATAGTCCACTTTTGGAAAATGTGCTCAGGGAGATCACTGAGATTACAGAGGTTTTATAAAACCTCTATAATCGGGGGCACGTGGTGGCTCAGTCAGTTGAGCATCTGCCTTCGGCTCAGGTCCTGGGATCGGGGTCCACATAGGGCTCCCTGCTGGGTGGGGAGTCTGCTTCTCTGCCTCCCTCTGCCCTTCCCCTTTCCATCCTCCACCTCCATTTGTGCTTGCTCAAGCTCTCTCCCCTCTCTCTCAAACAAATAATTTTTATAAGTTTATAATCTGATCCCATGCCAAGGATCTACCTGTTTCCTTGCCATTCTCCAATATAGTTGTAATAGAAAATATATTTTAGTCCTCACCACGTATAAGCCAGTGGTGTGAGCAATGGATCTCCATTCCATCTCCTGAATGTCCTCTTCCCATTTTGTGCTTATTCCCACTGCTGCAGTCCTGCTTAAGTTCTGCTCTCCATCTGCATGCGGTCCCTCTTCCGTAACTTACTGTCTATCATTCTAGGCCTAGCTGAGGCCTTCAAATCAGGCTCCCAGAAGCCTTCCCAATACTAGTAAGTCCACTCTGAGCTGCATCTTTTATGCATCTTTTTATACATTCAAACCAGTATTTCCTCATGCAATCCTTGATTACATTCTGCCTAAAGTTGTTCTAAGTTGTCAATCTTGTTCTATAATCATTGTGCATATTTTCTAGAGGTCCAGATTCAAGTCATATTTTTCTTTTATCTCCCAAGTATATACAGCACAGTGATAAGGAAAAATAAAGTAATGATATAAACAGAATTATAGCTTAAGAAAACAATCTATTTTAACTGTCCGCATACCTACAAAGAATATGATGAACACAAATAATCTGTATTTTAAACTAAGTCCAAAAACTTTCATTAAGTTCTTTCAAGACTGTCAATTTTGCTCTGAAGCCATAGTGCCAAAATGATTAAAATACATTTATTTAGACTTCTATTTCAGACTTCAAATCCAGTACATTGAGGTTTTGCCAAAATACTAGAGATGCATATTGCTTACCAACACCAATGGCCACAACTTAAAAATAATCTTTGAATCTTATTTCCTACTCTTAAGAACCTAGATTTCGATACGTGAAAGCATAATAAATTACTATATGTATATAGAAGACTTGTCTAAAGAATTAAACTACATCCTAAATTATCATTTCATTAATGCTTACAACATTCCATTAAGCAGGCAAGTGTTACCAAATTCATTATTTTTACTGTTAATGTGTCTGAAGTGACCATAATTAGTCCAATGACATAAATTAACCAGTAGGTAACTGTATGCTATTCTTCAGAAATTAGTTTTCCTTGAATCTTTTATACAAACATATCCTGCAACCTGAGACCATGAAAAAAAAATTTAGACCTTTGGAAATCACTGATTCCGTGCCTGGTGGAAAGAACTGACTATTCAAATTCATTCTATTTAAAATCAATTCAGAAAACATCACCAAATGAGAAAAGTTTTTTACTGATTCTGTTATTACTCAATCTTCTAAAATGTATAGCTAGAAATAGAAATAAAGAAAGACTAAAACATTTGCAAGAACATTACCAGTATGACTTAATAAAAGAGCTAATGAGATTTCCATGGGAAAATCAGATCACAAAGGGAAAAAATAAGGTGGATACATTCACAAGAAATGTCATTTAATTTCCCCATAAATTAAGACAAAATTACCCACCAAAATTTACAGTAAGTCTCTACATCATTAGAGATTTAATAATTTCTTTGTACTTGAAAAAAAGAAAGATGAAAACAAATACATTTTCTTCCTAGATGGTTTATTAGAATTTGTACCATAAAGCATCTCTAGACATTTGCTTTTAAGCGTATTTCACAAGGACCTAGAAGAGGGAGTTTTACCTGTTTTACTAATGACTTCCTGTAACTCAGCCATAGAGGTGACTATTGCTGCTAGAAGGTCTGAACTGGTAAGCCAGCTGAGTGCTTGCAAACAACGTAACTGCTCCTTCTGATGCTCTGCAAAAAAAGAAAGAAATCCATCTTGCAATGCTACAAACATTTAAAAATCCATGTTTAAACTTCATACCCACATTTGGTTATTTAAGAAATAGATCAAAACTTATAGACAGAACTTTGCCTAGTGTGGAAAAGTCTACAAATAATGCTAGATTTGACTGAGAATTTATTTACCTTTTATATAAATTAAGTGAAGTCGGGAGAGAGAGAAGATGGGGCACCTGGGTGGCTCAGTCCGTTAAGCATCTGACCCTTGATTTCAGTTCAGGTCATGATCTCAGTCAGGGTTGTGAAATTGAGCTCCATGTAGGGCTCCACGCTGGGCATGGGGCCTGTTTAAGACACTCTTTCCTTCTCTTCTACTGTCCCTCTTTAGTCCACCCCACCCCTGCTCATACACTCTCACTCCCTCTCTCTTTCTCAAAAATAGAGGAAAAGTTTTCTTGAGCTCTAGTTAAATTACTTAATGGCTTGATTTTTAAAAGTTAAAAATTGAAATCATTGTTTCCTCAGAATAATCAAGCACTTAAAAGAAAGTTAACTGGAAAATTTATTTCATCTCATTTTCGTTCAATTCCTCAATAGATGTTTAACTCTGAGCATTTTATTCTGATTCATAGAAAGTGAAATTAAATTTTATTGGTAATTAATTTTACATAGGGCAGAGTCTCTGGATTGACTTAACTGAAAAATCACTATATAGACTCTTTACTGTGAAAAGAGCATTCAAATATAATAAAGCTAAAAATGTATATATAATGAAGTTGAAATTATATTTGCCACTTCCTTTATGCATAAATATATATTTACCCATACACATATACATATCTACATACACATGGGACTATGTTACATAATTTGATATATTAAATGATTTTTTTAAGTTTTTACATAATGGTTAAACACAGTCACATTGTACGTGACTTACATTCAACTTAGATTTTTTTTTAATACCTTATTTATTTGACAGAGATCACAAGTAGGCAGAGAGGCAGGCAGAGAGAGAGGAGGAAGCAGGCTCCCCTCAGAGCAGGGAGCAAGATGTGGGGCTCAATCCCAGGACCCTGGGATCATGACCTGAGCCGAAGGCAGAGGCCTTAACCCACTGAGCCACCCAGGCGCCCCTCAACTTAGATTTTTAAAAAGCATAAATGATCTTACTCGGAAATTTCTGCTTGTCTTTGGGCTCTCCTGTACACACTAACATGCCTATGCCTTCTTTGAAACTTTCCATCCAGGTAAAAAGAGAGGCACATGACTGGCCCAAAATCTTGAGCCTATTTGCTGCCAGAACGGCAATAACACCTTTCCGGAATACACGTATCAATCCTTTGAATGGTTTTTTCTTCATCTTGGCTTCCTCTTGCTTCTTTTCGTCTACACTTGACAAAGCCTGGGCTAGAGTTCTAACTTCCAGTTTGAACAACTCAAAGGTGTTGACCTGCTCCTGGAGAAAATCTCTCTGTGTAGATAAGGCACATGACCGGCTGTAGAGAGGATATAAGGCACCAGCCATCAACGCACAGGCTGCCAGCAACGATGTTTGTTCCCTCCGAGTCTGCGATAACATGTTTTTGAAGCGTGAATTTTCAAGAACCAACTGCTCATGGGACCTCTCAATACGATTCAATTTTTCCATATTTTTTTCGGCAATTTCTTGAAATTTCTGTAAGAAGTCAAACAAAATATTGGAAACAAGTAGGCATTTGATTACTTCTCCAGAAAGAAAACACACTTTTGTTGACAACGTCTTCAAGAGATCCATGTTCAAAATAGCCAAAAATACGTATGACAGCGCGACAGTGGGCCAAACAGCTTAGATCTAAGTGGGCACACTGATTTTTAAGTCCTTGTACATAGAAGACTCACATAAAATCGAACATGTAAATTTGAAAGTACTTCATAAATTTCCTCTACACTTATGCATAAATGCACATATTTAGAAAAGGAAATTTCTCCTCTTCCATTCCTCACTAACTTTTATTTCCTGCTTTTAAACAGAAATTACACCACCAACAGAAGTTTTCCTATATGTGAAGACTTCACATTTTGTCAGAATAAGCAAAGGGTTAAATCAATAATACAACAAATAGACTGCATGACTCAGTGGGTTAAACCTCTGTCTTAAGCTCCCGTCATGATCTCAGGGTCCTGGGATCGAGCCGTGCGCGTTGGGCTTCCCGCTGAGTGGGATGTGTGCTTCTTTCCTTCTCTCTTTGCCCTTCTCCCCCACCCAACGCCACATGCTCGCGCTCTCCCTCTCAAATTAATAAAATCCCTTAAAAAAAAACCAACAACAACAACAAATGGCACTTGACTGCCATTTACTGGAATGAGGACGGACTGGATCGCAGGACAAACTCTCTCATTTCAGCTCTTTCTTACCTTCCCAAGACAGAACAAAAAACAAAGTACAGCTCCAGTGGTGGGAAGAAATACTAACTCTAAGCTGGGCCCCAGCAGTTCTCTGATCCTTTTTCCCTCATCAAGGAACTTGCAATCCAAAACAATTTGAAACACAAAGAAATTTTAATTGCAGACAGCAAATTTTAATCGTTAGAAAATAAACTAGTTCTCTGTAAAGTCTTATGCCTAATCATTAAGGAACTGCTGAGGTAGAGTAAATTTCAGAAGATAACAGATCCCAATTTCCTTTACTGATTCATTTATCATTCAATAAACATTTATTGATTACTCACTAAATTCCATGTGCTAGAAAAACAGACAAGCAAATCAATTATTGTGGCATAATGCTATGATAAAACTATGCCAGATTGCCAGAAGTACACAAAGGGAGTTGGCATAAAATGATATTGACAGGTTTTTGGAGGGATATGACAAAGGTAGTAAGGTATTAAAAAAAAAAAGCTACTGATAAGGAAACTAATCATAGCTATCCTATAAGAATTTAACAACCAGAATTGAAGAAAATAATACAAACTCTTGCTTACTCCTCAAGACTTGATATCAAAGCCTACCATGGAAAATGCTGATTGGTGGTAGCCAAAAGAATTCAAACTTGTAGAAATATACAGCTGAGAAAAGTAACTCTTGGGCCAAATTCAACCCCAAAGCAAGGGGATGAGATTCCCAAAAGGCGCACAGTGAGTAGAAGGCCCTTGGACATACAGTCCTGAGTACAAAGGAGTAAAGGAAGTCCACAAGGAGCCACTCTCTGAAGGATTCAACTTCTTGGATGCTTTCCCTTGAGCAGGGGAAAAACTGTATTTTAGTTTTAAGTGTTTTTATATTATAATCCCCTTTACTTAATCCAACTCTTCCCTGAAGTCTGACCCAGCCATATCTATGGTGCTAGTGTGAAAAATAAAAGAACCAGGAAATATAGGAACTGTGGCTTGCCCAATCACATCTCCACTGATGGCCAAGCTGAGGTAGCAAGATTTCATCACTGGGACTGTGTTCCAGAGCTCTACACAATGACACATGTAAAGGAAGTGGTGTCCCACTGGGAGCAGCGGAAAGAAGTGAGAAACTCTGAGAGCTAGCCGAGTGGACCGCTCGGAAGCAGATGGGAGACACCCTTGTAAGGGTGGCAACCTTTAAGAAAAGGGAAAACTGACATGAACTATGGCTAAAGAAGGCAGGAAGACCAGTGAGCGGAAGAGGAAAAGCCAGAAAACAGGATAATGCATTCTAAGGAAGTGCAAACAATTCAGAATGCCTGAAGAGAAGAGGAGAATGATGGAAAATTGACAAGTAGGCAGATAATAGATAATTAAGCTACGGAAGCCATAAGATCCTGGAAGTCACTCTGCTTTAGTTAATGGGTGGGAGAATCAGAAATCTTAATAAAAACTACCAAGGGCAGCCAGGGAGATGTAGGGAGTGGGGATGGAAGGAGAGGAGGAAATAGAAACCACAGCAGTTAGTTCTGTATTTTCTCCACAATCAATTCCATTAGTTCAATTAGAGGGGAAAACAGGAAAATTCTAGGAAACCCAAGATAAAAGAGGCAGACTCGCCAAAGCTAGATAGTAGACATAAAAATTAACCTAACTGGATTCCAGGAGGCTGCCAACTTACACATTCACAGTTCTCAAAGTCTCGGGAAGAAATGTGTTTTCAACAAAAAATACTTTTTTTGAACAAAAAAAAATGAAGAGATATATTTGCTAATGACATTTTAAATATTACAAAATAATATGTGAAGTCATTGGTCAAAATCAAATGGGTTGTTGAAAGAGAGCTGAAAGTATGTTAACCCTACTGGAATTGAAATTTTTTAAATAAATAAAATAAAAATTTAAAAAAAAATGAAAGAGAGCTGAAAGTCAACAAGCCCCTTCTGGAAAAGATTAAGCTAATTTTAGCACATGAGAGACCTCCAACTCTTCTACCATATACAGCTGGCCCACTTCAGGGCCTCAGGTTGAAGCTGAGAGCATTTTAGCACAGCAGCCAGGAACTTGCAGTCCTGGGATGAGGATGACAGAGTAACCAAAACGTGGCGAGACATGGATAAAGATCTGAAATAAACTTCCCAAAACACCACATTTCTCTCGAAGAAGAGAAAACCAGGAATAAGCTGGAATGTTTTAAAAAAAGAATTGGGATTCCGGACTAACATGGCCAGTTGTCATTTTCGGCTGCCTGGGAGAAGCAGGTGGCAGTGCAAAAGAAGCAATATTTGAAGGTCCTCATTGTCATTCTGTGGCCCCCCGAGTTTTGATCATTTGTAATGATTATACATTTAAAAGTGCTGATTACTAGTAATTACTACCACTATGGATGATTTCATGAGACGCCTATGATTTGTACTGTAAGAAAGAGATGCCATTCACAGATTGCTAAAACAGTAAAAATAGGACTAAGAATACATATGAGGTCTGTTTATAAATAAAAATAAACAATCTCTAAATTCTACCTCTGAAACTAATAAAAAAATGAAATAAACATAAGGGTGTATATGTCCTTTCAAAAAATAAATTTTAAAACTAAAAATAAATAATCTCTAAATACTATTTGTCTAATAATGCTGTTGTCCCCCACCATTCTTGGTTTAAGTAATTATAACCAAGATACCAGTTATCAACTGTTATTGTTATTTTTTTCAAAATCAACCACCAAGGAGCGCCTGGGTGGCTCAGTCAGTTAAGTGTCTGACTCTTGGTTTCAGCTCAGGTCATGATCTCAGGGTCTTCAAATCAAGCCCCATGGGCTCTGTGCTCAGCAGGGAGTCTGGCTGAGTTTCTTTCTCTCTCTACCTCTGCCCCTGCCCGCTGCACTCTCACTGAAATAAATAAGTAAATCTCTCTGAAATACTCTCACTGAAATAAATAAGTAAATCTTAAAAAAAAAAAAAAAATTAACCAGACCAATATTCAACTAGAATATCTAGATAACTAGAATTAATTAGCAGGGTGAATTAAAGATTAAAAAACAATAGGGGCGCCTGGGTGGCTCAGTGGGTTAAAGCCTCTGCCTTCGGCTCAGGTCATGGTCCCAGGGTCCTAGGATCGAGGCCCGCATCGGGCTCTCTGCTCAAGCGGGGAGCCTGCTTCCTCCTCTCTCTCTCTGCCTGCCTCTCTGCCTACTTGTGATCCCTCTCTCTGTCAAATAAATAAATAAAATCTTAAAAAAAAAAAATTAAAAAACAATGAAGTTAAAAAAAAAACAATGAAGTTAATCATTTAAATTTTTAAAGCTCTAATTGATGCATATTAAGTTAACAACACAAAAACCTCAATAACATGAATACTTAATGAGAGTTTTGTTCATTTCTTAACAATTATGTTTCTGCATCTCGACTGTCTCCACTGAGATCTAGAATCACAGATCTCACTGCCCGTAGGCATCTCTACCTAACGACCCCATAGCCCTCTCAGGCTAAAGTATCCTGTCTAGTACTGCTGATTTGCGTCCTAAACATATCCATAATAGTCCTCTTCACGTTAGTCCTACTAATATCCACCCAGCCGTTCCAAATAAAAAACTTTTTAGTCAGTCTTAATTCCTCCTTTCCCCCCATCCTCTACACTTCCAAATCAAAGTCATCCGCAAGTCCAGTTGGGTCTACCCGCAAAATCCTGATCCAGATCCTTCTCCACGGCGACCCATGCTAGTCCCAGCTCTTCACCCACAGCCACTCATGCCCACTTCAATGCTACTGTCACATCAGGTCAGTCCAATCCTATTGTTTAACCTCTTTATCTTTACTGAACCAAGGTTCTCTCCTCAAGTCACAATACCCCCACATGCGGTCTGCTGCAAAGGTTTCCACCTTTTCCCAGGATCCTCAACCTGATGAAAAAGGAGAGATCAGTCTGCTCCTTTACTATTCAGACATGAGACTCGCCACTTCTTCTCACAATTGCACCATGTTCTCTAGCACCCCTGGGTCTTCCAACTCCCCTAACACTATTCAAATCCTAACAGTCTTCAGAGCCCATTTCAGGGTCTAGCTATTCCATGACGCCTTTCACTATAATCCTCACTCACACTGACCTGACCTTCTCTGAACTCAATTGTATCACTTGGGTATTTAATTCCTATACTGCTACTTACTTATTTCATGTGTGTATATCTACTCTCCCTCCAATACAATAGAGGGCTAGTTCCTAGAAGCCAGGAAGCATTTACTGTAGTGCCTGTCTCCGTGCTCTGTACCCTATAGGTATTTAGTAAATATTGAAAAAATTTAAAAAT